CGCCGCCCGGCGGCCGGCGCGCCCGCCCGGGGATGGAGTCCGATCACTACCGTACTACCGCTGAACTCTTCGGCGAACGATCACGGCTGGCCGCCGCATGCTGGCGCCGCCGCAAGTTGAGACTCCCGGTGCCTGTCAACCCGGTGAAGCCTTGCCAAGTTGAATCAGAAAATCATGGCTCAGTCTACCGTACCGTACCGTTTGTTCTGAAAAAATCTGATACCATGATGATCCGATCAGTTCTGAAGGACAAACAGGAGCCTCGGAGCATGCCTGAGGCTTCGAAAGCAAGTTCGGTCAATCATTGGTCGGACTGACCGCATCGGACGGGGCGGTAGCAAGGGCAACTCAGTGAGCGGCTGCACATTAGGGCAAGACCAGACCGCCCCACGGGCAACCGAACTCAGTAGGAGCGAAGCTCATACTGGAACACAGCCGATGAACCGCATGTCATTATGCGATGGCGGGGCAGTGTACGGCTCGCCGAACGATCCGCCGGCCTCCACAGAAGGCGCAGTCCTACCACCGTCATCCGACCGGCTGCCCGTCGCAACTGGCACGGTACCGTACCACCGTACGGAGGCTGTGACGGTGCCAAGAGAGTTGACGCGGGGCCGGGTTGCCGGGTTGTATGCGCGATTTTCGCACATCCGATCTTCCGCTGTTTGAATACCAGAAGCTCAAGACGCACTGAGAAGCTTCTGAGCAAGAAACTTGCAAGAATGCTCCTTTATCAATGCTCAACAACGAGATTTCTATGCACTTTGCTATAAATCTGTAGATTCTGAGAAAGTGTTTGAGCTCTCAATCACATACAAATGTGCTTCAAAGTCATGGAATTTTTATTCGACTATGTATCCTGTAATTTACACTGTGTCTGAAACAGAATTTGTCATTCGCTAACCTCGGCTTGTGCTGTAGAGCCAGGACGTGGGCATTGATCCACATTGCTATTATCATGTGGTGGCAAGCCGCTCTGCTTCTTTCTGAGGTGTCTGATGCAGGGCAGTTCAATCCCGTCAATGCTTCCATTAAACATCTTCTGCAAACCTTTGATGTATGCAATAGAAAACGCTAGAGCTTTCAGGCTCCTCTGTCTGTCCCGAGGCATGCTGGAAATCCAGCCCTGGTCCGTTTCCTCCCTCAAATCGTCTGCCGATCTTTCCTGAGAGGAGGAGGCGTCCTGTTCCTCATGCTCGCGGTGAGGAGGAAGAGTTTCGCGCTGGGCTCTCATAATGTCTGAGGGATCGTGGAGGAAGGGAGCGAGACAAGGAAGTTGAACACGAGCTCCAACTAGCGGGTGTTTTACCCTGCAGGGGGGATCCGTATCCTGCCTCCTGTAAGGCCATTATGGATTCATATCCTGTTGTCGAAAAGAGACTATTTCGAAACTTATGCTTGTTTCTGTCACGCGGAAGGATATTGTAGGCGTTAGTTTAGAAGGGTCGACGGACCAGTTTTTTTTTGGACATGAACCAAGAGGATGCGAGGGGGTGGAGGCATGACTCCCTGCCATAGGTCATGTGACTTCTGCCCTCCGATTGAGGTGAGGCGGGCCTAGAAAAACAATACCTGTGTTGCTCAATTGCTCCACAGGCAACAGAGTGGGACGTACGGCAATGGCCGATGAACAAATGAAATTCTGAGCCTGAAGAAGGATCCTGTTACCCATGCTGCTGCTCCCCACTGCAAGATGGACTTCACTCTTGATCTCGACAACTCATGCACACTGCCGGTTGCTGCAGCTCGAATCCAGTGCGGATTCGCAAGCCTGAAGCGCACCGTTGCAAGATCGTGGATACATGTTGATCACTCAGTCTCGATCCCTCGTGCTTTTATTTACAACATTACCCCTGCCCCCCCCTCCTTCGCTACTTTACATATCTACATCTTGCTCCCTCTCTCCCTCTCTCTTCCTCTCCCTTCTTTCCCTGCCCCGTCGTCCCTTTCACCTTGTCCTCCGCCAACAGTGCTGGATACACGGGAGATCCTCTCCGTCCACGCTCCCTCCCTTCTTCTCCTGCTGCCTCGTGATGTACCGGATCGACATCGCAAGCGCCTTCAGCTGCCGCTGCTTCTCCCTCGACAGCCCGTGCAGCTTCGCCGCGTCCACGTTGAGCAACTCGGCCGTGCACTCCACGTCGGTCGGCCTCTCGCTGGAGGGAGAGCGATGCTGGTGAGGGAGTGGGGAGGTACAAGCTTGGGGAGAGGAGGAGGGCATGGATGGTGAGTGTGGCGAGGAGGCTGGGGCCTTAGAAGCTTGGTAGGTCTTGCTTTATGCGATGCATGTAGATAGTCGTGGGAACAGACAGCGTGATCGAAGGAGCGAGCGCTGGATGTGTGAATCCTCTAGATCGTTCTAGAAGCATGTATATCTCGTGAAAATAGAGCTTTTCGAGGATATTCCGTCAGGGAACCCAAACTTGATGGATAGATCGAGATCTCGGAGGATACTCCCGATCATGCCCGGTGGGTTACAATCCCTTCGTTACTTCTCTGTAAGGCAGAATAAGCACATGGATGTCTGGATACGAAAAGAATACCTTTCGCCGCATTCTTCCCGTGCGGCCTGAGTATCCGTATCCAGAAGCTTCGACGAATATTCGAATAAGACAGTCGGATATCATCCGCAAAGGTCTTACAGGCTGGATAGTCCTGGCCTTACAGGAAGATAGTTGCTACCCCTCCTTTTTCCCATTGATAGCTTCTACCCCTCCCTCCCTCAACCCCTACATATGGACAAGGGGCGTCAGATGTTCTCCATCCGAGAAATTCCTCCCACGCAATCAATCAAACAGCATCCTCCTCCTTGTTCTTCATCGACTACTACTACAACATCATCACATCCGCCATGGTCTCTACTTGCAACACCGTCGACACCTGCAACGCCTGCGCTGAAGTTAGCTGCATTATCTCCCCTGCCAAGATGCCTGCAGGAATCGATGCTGCTCGCTTTGCTTCTCTTCCTGCCGACAAGCAGCGCAAGCTGCGCGCACTAGCGGCATCGATTGACTACGTCACAAGACTGCAAGCAAAGGCAGGAGGAAGCATCGATGGAATCGACTTGCCCTGCGTCCAGGAGAGCCGCAAGGGGCGATAAATCAGACTTTCACCACTACCTTGTACATACTGTAAATCTATGTTCCATTGAATAAAAGTTATTCTTTCATTGAATTCCTCTGTTGTGTCATTCGTTGCACTCACAATAGATCACAATCGTGCGGTTCATTGCTCAGATTCAACAAGGAAGCAGAGAGCAAACGCTTTGGTGATTGAAACGATGAAGGTGCGAAAGGATCATGTTTATTGCCTCTGTGGCAAGCAATTCATCAATGAAGCATGCAAGGCTTCTCCTCCTCGCATCCTCCTTCGGGCTTCGAGGTAGGAGCGGATGGGGTGTTGTCGTCCAACTAGACCAGGCACGGGAGTTAGCAGGGGGAGAAGACGCATGAAGAATGCAGATAATCGATAAGGATGTCAATGATAACCGAGAAAGAAGAGAATAATCGAGAATGTACAAAATCACCATGAATGCACAGAAACATCGAAGATACACAGAAACATTAGCAATGTACAAACACAACGAGAATGTGCAGGGGAGAAAAAGCTATGCACCTTAGTAAATGCGAGCCTGAGGATCTGAAACATTTCAACTACTTCACAAGTCGTCAGCAGCTGACCCGGCCAGAAATTCTCCCGTTCTCGCAGGCGATCACACTGGATCTACAAGGGTGGAGATATGGATTGCTCGATAGTACATAAGAGATGAGGCAAGGATATCTACACGTTCTGCTCCTTCCTATGATGTTTCGCCGTCATGCGCGCTTCCACATCGCTACCTTCGCTTGTTATCAGCGTGACACCCGCCAATAAATCTTTCATCTATCATGTTTGATCCTACACCTGCCTCTGCCATCTATGCCGATTGCACTGATTCTGGGGCAATAAGGGAGAAACAACAGGAGCTGTGGAGGAGAGGGGAAGCGCGAAAGTCAAGCTCGTGGGAGGAACTACCGCACGATTAGAAATCAGCTCCTTCTTACCCCCACGCGTGACTCCTCCTCGTCCCTATCTCCATCATCCTTCCCTGTCTCGCTCGCTTCCTCCTTCTCTCTTTGCCCTCAGCATCCAACGGTTGGGTATGGTCTTGGCACAGAGCACCGTCTAACCGACCAACCTTCGATACCATTTCTCCTTGCTGAAATATCATCCGACCAACCTTTGATACTATTTCTCCTTGCTGAGAAACCATCCTTTGTCCATCTCGTCATGCTCAACTGTGATCGTTGTGCTGATTCATCTCCTCGTTTCTTTCTTTCCTCCTTTCTCCTCTTCGCTTCTCCTTCCATGCTCCCCTGCGATCCTTTCCTTCGCCGAATCTCCCGCATTTAGAAATCTCCAGTACATTTTCAGTCTCTCGACTCGGCAAGTCTGCCTCGTCTTGTACGAGCTCGCCTCAGCCACATGTCAGCACCAAAGTACTCTGATGGCGATGGGCGGGGCAACGTGAGGGAGGAGGAGAGAGGAGGAGAGAGGAGGAGAGAGGAGGAGAGAGGAGGAGAGAGGAGGAGAGAGCGTGAAGGGAGTCCTGAGGGCAGAGACGGAGCAGATCAGAATGAGGAGGGCCAGATATTACCAAGAATGTAGGACGCGGGAAAGCGAGCTTGCCTCGACAAGTCTAAGAAGGGGGGGGTCAATGCTGCCAGCGCTGCTGCTGCTCTTTTCTGTTCTCCCATGCGCCAAGTCTTGGTGCCCTCCTCCAACAGGCTGTCAGCTACTGAGACCTCCGGGTCCCCTTGCCCATCATGTATTGCGTGTCTCTGGTGGGGAGGAGGAGGAGAAGGAGGAGGAGGTAAACGAGCAGGTATTGCCGAAGGAAGCATGCTTGTCTCGAGACGAGATCATGGTACAGTCAGCTCTGCGTATCGTCAACATGGGGAAGAAGGCGAAGAAAGCTGCTGCTGCTGCCATTGCCGCCCAAAGTGACTCCTTGGGGTTCGCACACAAGCTCCTTGACCTCCGCGATGGGCACAGGGAGGAGGAGGAAGGCGGAAGCGTCGGCAAGCTGGCGAAGGTGAGGAGAGGAGAGATCGCTAGCGCCGCTGCTGACATGCTAGTCATGAAGATGCTGAAGCTGGTCCTGGGAGCCGACTGGCAGCAGATCAGAGACGAGGAGGAGCTGTTGGGGATGCTGGGGGGCTGGGAGGAGGAGATCATACCGCGCGAGGAGATGAAGGAAGTGAGCAGAAAGTTGGACGAGGAGAAAGTGGACGTTTCCAAGATGATAGAAGCGAGCTCGTCGACTGAGAGGCTCATGTGGGAATGGCTGGATGGCGTGATCAGCGTGCTCAATGCGAGCGTGTGAGGAGGAGGGGAGGGTGGGGATGGGAGGAGAAGATTTGATTCTGGGAGAACGAGGAAGATGAGGATGAGGAAGAGGAAGAGGAACTCAGAGGAACGAAGGGAGAGGGAGGAGGAGCGGTTTGTGTCAACTGTGTATTGATGCTTCTAAAAGTACATGTGCTTCCCGTCCCTGTGCGAACGCTGTATGCTCGCCTCCTCCTCCGCAGCGATGCTGCACGAGAGTCAGCAAAGAGAAGGAAGGGGAAACACGGAGGTGGGAGCAGATGGGAGGGGAGAAGGGGGCCAGGGGAGAGGCTGGGGGTCGGAGACACGAGAAGGAGAGAGAGAGGGGATGGGATGGGAGAGAGGAAGGGAGACAGCGAGAGAAGTAGGAAGAGGGAGGAGGGTGGGAAGGAAAGTGACTGGAAAGAGAGCGAGGGAGAGAGCAAAGAGGAGGAGGAGGAGGTAGTGGTGGTGGGCACTAGCACCAGCACCAGCACCAGCACCAGCACCAGCACCAGCACAAGCACCAGCACCAGCACCAGCACCAGCACCAGCACCAGCACCAGCACCAGCACCAGCACCAGCACCAGCACCAGCACCAGCACGCCACATAGGGTACGGAGAAAGT